AATCTGTTGAGGAAGACTGTAATCTGAAAAGAAGTACTTTAGTACCATTATCAAATCCATGAAATATTCCTGCTTACTGTAAAAATCTGTGAATAAGCCATGCTGTGGCGGTGACGCACATACAAAATAGAAGATTGGTGCAGATGTTAGCTCAGGGCCAATCTTCCTCACCAAAAATAAAGAAAGAAAAAAAATCTATGACTAGTGGGGCTGATTTTCCTCTTTAAAAATATTATTTTTGATAATTTTTTATTATTAGATGCAAAAGCAATTAATAGCTGGTAAACAGTTACTGTTAATAATACTACATTATTATTATTATTTTGCATTTGTAAACCTCTTAACTGTTTAAAACACACTTCAGTATGTGCTTTTATTTGCTCTTTCTACCAAACCTGGCCAAACCTAATTCTTTTGGATCCTGGTTTCTTGGTGGTCATAGAAAGTTGTGCTTTTGTTTTGTCTTAGTTTTTAGAAAATAAGAGACATTTATTGACCTTCTGCTATATGCAGTGCACTCTGTACACTATGGGGAAATAGAATGAGTCAAATTCTTCAGTCCTTGCTGTAAAGGAAGCTTGATAGGGGCAACAGATGTGGATGGATAACATAAGGGAGTGAGTCTCTTAGAAAGTTTGGGTGGGGGAATGCTGTACCTGGGCTAAACATGGAACTCACCAGACTCAGGGCTCCAGTTGATGCATGATGTCCCAGCATGTGGTGGGTGTTAGGTCCAGGGACATGGAAGCAGTCTGGACGGAAAAGCCAGTTTTAAATTAAGTCCCAGCAGTGCCTTATCTTGGGTAAACACAAGTAGAGGGGCAAAGACAGAAGTTATTTACTTTCCCTATGTCTCTTTTCTGAACAGGTCTATGTCTTACTAGCTAAGCAACTCAATGGAAAACACGGCGAAAGCAAATAAAAAGGATATTCAAAATGGGCCACCAAAAGAAGTCAAGTTGCCTACCAGTGAAGCACTTCTAGACTATCAGTAAGCTTAGATTATGATTATTATCCAAAAGTTCCCATATGTAAATGGCAATCATTGTTAAGACTCATATAACTCCAAAAGGAAAATGATGCACCCAAAAGCTGTCAGGGGAACTGGATGGGAAGTGGACTGGAGGCGTAACTGTACTCTTGTGCTATGTGCATATTTTTTAAAGTTTTTGAAACTTTAACTATAACATAGTCCAAGTGGTAGCTATGAAACAGCACTCATTAATGTGGTTTTGGCTCCCTCCCTCCCTTCCTTGTGTTATTGATCACTCTCGCGTATATACACAACAGCTTGCTGGCTTACCTTTTAAAATACAACAGAATAGTTAGCATGCATTTATAGAAGGATAAGAGAGGAAATTTCTCTTCTTTATTTAACTTTTCATTTATAGACATTCCAATTTGCGTTATCCCCAAAGGGCTACAGATCAAAACCAAATGATTCAGAGAGAATTACTTTTCATAAGAAGAATTTTTCTTAATGTCTCACTCCCAGGAGCTGGAGACAAAACTAGAGGTGATACCTATTCTGTGTTTGTCTTTTATCCAACTAATGGAGAGTAAGCCCTTTGAGAGCTTTTGAACCTCAACTTTTGGCACAGAGTAGGTGTTTTAATGTATAATTCTTAGGGAGTGAATGAACATGTCAGTCTTTTCCCAAATAAGAATGTACTTCATTTATGCATTTATTGAACAAGTACTTGAATGTTTACCAAGTGCAAGGCCAGTGCTGGGTACTGCAGGACAACAGTGAACAGGACCACATGGTCCCTGCCCTGATGAAGCATGAAAGATGGACATTAAACAACTAAAACTTTTTAAAAAAATTACATAGCTATAATTAAGGTGCTATGAAAGAGAAGTGTAGGGTACTGTGTAACCATATAACTAAAGTACTTGATATAGTCAGAGGGATCAGGAAAAGTTTGTTTGAGGAAAGGATGTTTGACCTGATCTCTAGAAGAGGAACAGGTGTTATGGAGACATAGAGTGGTGGAGAGAGAGGCTTATGGAAAAGACACTGCAGGGATGAAGAGCTTATCAGAGTCCAGGAACTGAGAGAAGGCAGAGTGAGGGAGAGAGGGCAAGAGCAGACTCTGGTGATTTAGGCAAGGGTCAGAAAAGCAGAGCCCTGTAGAACACTTGGGATTTGGGAATAAGAAACCATTTATTGGAGGGTGACAAGGTTGAAAGTGAGGAGCCCGTGATACTGGTGACTTAGTTTAAGAGAATTGATTTTAACAACATTCAAGGAAAATCCGTCTCCTTCTTGAGAGACTCCAAATCCATTCATATGTTCTTTTTAGAAGGCAGTGAGTGAAAGGATCAGAACACTGAGAGAAACATCCATAGGAAGAGACTTTTAACAAAGTTCCCTTTTATTTTCTACTTGAGATAACATTAAGTTACTACCTGCGTGCGTTTCTCAACATAACTGAAAACTTCTCTAATCTCATCCTGGGAGAGTTGGACAAAAAGTCAGGCTCTGTGAGTACAACCTGGTCTCTAATTTGCTCCCACGTTTTACAGTGATGACATCCAATTATAACTGTTTCTCTCTCTTCTGGGTCAACCAGAGGCCAGCCTTTCTCCTCTTTACCAGAGGTTTACAAAGAAGCAAACGTTTAAAAATTCTCATGATCTAGTGCAAGATATAAATTGAACATCCCGTGCTTTTGTTCTCTTTCCTTTGTAAAAACTAAATAAATAATCTCATGGACTGAAATAGCCAAGGCCTTGCTGTACAATGCTCTGCTGGTGACACTTTACTCATTCCATGTGTTCCCAGGTGACAGAACTTTTGACGCATGACAAATAGCCAAGACACCCCCCTCACCATCTGAGGAAGGATTGTCCAAGGGTCCCCAGGCAGCATCTTGTATTTCTCTTATACAATCTGAGCTCCTAATAAAGAGCTGAGAGCACATAGTATGTAGTCAATGGTTTCTGAACAACTGAACTTTTTTTGAATCTATCCCAAGAAAATAAGGTCATAAACTTCTATGGCTGTCTGTGAAGAGTTGAGACTGCCAATGTTAAAGCTATAGTGATCATTTCTGAGTAATGATGGTTTTTATTTCCTCCTTTATATTTGTTTTTCCCCCAGTATTTACAGTGAGTATGGATATAGATATAGAAATAGACGTGGATATGGTTGTGGGTAAAAATACAGAGAGATTAAAAGTATAGATTTTTTGAAAGTCAAATTTACTTGGATGGGTGGTTTGGAGATTTGTGTTTTTATGTGGGTAAGGCACTGGGAATATTTAAGGTAGGGGAAAAAATAGGGAGAGTAATTTCTGCTTGGCTTTCTCAAAACAAACTGTGCACTCCGTGAAGACTGTATTTTACTCCTCTTTGTATCTCTTGCACAGCCGGGTGTATAGTGTGAGCTCAGAGTTTCTTCATTGAATAAATAATATTGGATCTTGTCTGAGACCCAAATCACACTCATGAAAGCAAAAAGATATTTTTGCCTATCAATATAGGAGATAAATTTTTTAAAGTACTATGCTCAGTGATGAAATGCCTACTGTGAAAGAGGCACTTTCTTTTTTCTTTTTTTAATTATTTTATTGAAGTCATATTGGTTTATAACATTGTGTAATTTCAGGTGTACATTATTATTTGTCAGTTTCCGTATAGAGTGCATTGCGCTCACCACCAATAGTCTAATTTTTACCTGTCACCATACATATGTGCCCCTTTACCCCTTTCGCCCTCCCCCCACCTCCTTCCCCTCTAGTAACCACTAATCTGTTCTCTTTATCCATGTGTTTGTTTATCTTCCACATATGAGTGAAATCATGTGGTGTTTCTCTTTCTCTGTCTGGCTTATTTCACTTAACATCATACCCTCAAGGTCCATCCATGTTGTTGCAAATGGGATAAGTTTGTCTTTTTTTAAGGCTGAGTAGTATTCCACTGTATGTATATATCACATCTTCTTTATCCATTCATCAGTTGATGGGCACTTGTGTTGCTTCTAGTCTTGGCTATTGTGAATAATGCTGCAATGAATATAGGGGTGCATAAGTCTCTTTGAATTGTTGATTTCAAGTTCTTTGGATAAATATGCAGTGGTGGGATACCTGAATTGTATGGTATTTCTATTTTTAATTTTTTGAGAAATCTCCCTACTGTTTTTCATAGTGGCTGCACCAGTTTGCCTTCCCACTAGCAGTATATGAGGGTTCCCTTTTCTCCACATCCTCACCAACATCTGTCTTGTTAACTATAGCCATTCTGACAGGTATGAGGTAACATCTCATTGTAGTTTTGATTTGCATTTCCCTAATAGTTAGTGATGTTGAACATCTTTTCATGTGGAAACAGGCACTTTCGTACCCACTGGTAAGTATAAATTGTTCAAATATTCTCAAACTTTTGACAGTAATAGCAATAACTATAAAGCAGACCTGCCCCTTAATCAGGTAATCCTGTGTATATAGGAACTCTATCCCAAGAAAATAACGTCATGAACCTCTGTGGTTGTTTATGAAAAGCTGAGACTGCCAATGCTAAATCTGTAAAGTGATCATCTCTAGGTAATGGTGGTTTTATTTTTTTTCCTTGGTACTTGTTTTTCCCCCAGTTTTCTACAATGAGTATGGATATAGATATAGAAATGGGTGTGGATATGATTATAGGTTAAAAAAATAGATAAAAGTATAGATTTTTTTGGAGAATCCAAATTTGTTTTCCTTCTCAGAATTTTCAATGCAAGTGCATGGAGGGAGACAGTTGACACATTACTAACATTTTAATAATACAGGGAGGGAAGGGGAAAGGTGACACGTATTGCTAAGAATTTCATATCGTTGTGCTTTAGAATCGTGCTATATCCTTTGCAAACCACTTTAGTATATTGTACCTTGTTGCTTTATCATCCCACTCACTTCAGCATTTAGTGTGACATGTGGTTACTAGAGCACTGAGTAGATGAGGGAGATATGAAAAGGAAAAAGTATCTAGAGAACAGTAGAGCTTGAATTCCCACAATGGCTGATAGTGTGGAGTTCTCAAGTTCAGCCTCCTCTGCTTCCTGGTAAATCCATCTCTTTACGAGGCCTGAGGAGATTCAAGTGAATTCCCAGGAAAGGCTAGGCTAGGTTAGACCTGGAACTACCATATAATCCAGACAGGTGGCAATGAAGCCACCAAAACCTTTAGGGCATTTCACAATTCCCCCTGAGTCTTGCTGATGCCACTCAGATCTTTCTGAACCGCTTGCTGCAGAAGGAACACAAGACAAAGCCCTAGGCTGTTTGCTCCTCACTGCTCTGAGGGGAGGAGTGGTAGGCTTAAGTGTAGGGTTGCCAGATATAGCAAATAAAAATACAGGACGCCCAATTTCATTTGAATTTCAGATAAACAACAGATAATTTTTTTAGTGTAAGTGTGTCCCATGCAATATCTGGGGTTGGGGCTGGATATAGTCTCCAGTCTGATCTTTGCATGCTCAGTCATCACCAAGGTAGGCTGTCAGCGGAAGGCAGGGAGTCAGTCTGTTAACCAGCCCACCCAAAGACTCAGTCCCAACCAATGGAGACCACATACTAGAGATTCATTTGCCTGCTCCACCCATGCAGAGAATTAGGATTACCATATTTATAATTGTGGAAATTATGTGAGTAATTAGCACATATTTGCATAAGCTCTTTTTGGATAATTTTCATTTGTAATATTTTTATTTTTATCCTTAAAAATGAAAGGTGTAGAAGGCACTCCTTTAAAATTTTTGCACACTTGTACTTTAGTAAGAAGTAAAGGATGGTTTATACTTACCTATAGCCTTATTTTTTACTACTGTGTGGAGACCAACCTATCTATAGTAATCCCTTCCATTTACTGTTCTTCTCATATCCTGTTACTTCCCCCATAGCGTTTATCAGAATGTGTAAATAATAAGTCTATGTGTTTACTTCTTTACTGTCTAGTAAAACGTAAGCTCTTTGAGGGCAACGATCATGAAGATTTTGTTTGTCACTGTACACTGCCTAAAACAATGCCGGGCACATAGCAGCAACTCATTAAATCTATGTTATATGTGACTGCATGAAAGGGAACACTGATCAATTTAAATTGCAGAATTTTGGAACCGAAAAGGAACCATAGAGCTCCTCTCCTTCAATTCTCTCTTATAGAAGAGCAAGCCAAGGCCTAAATAGGTCCTTAGGCAGTTAGTGAAGAAGCGGGCCTAAAATCCAAGTTTCACAGTATCCAAACGGAGCTTTTTTGCCACTAAAAGATTTGCTTGTTTTGTTTTTATGTTGCATTTTCTCATCATTTGGCAAGAAGGAGCCTTATTTTTCTCTCTACTAAGTAGACAATGTCACAAATATAAATGATGTTTGGGGGAAGGCTGAGGATGTAGGATTCAAATTCAATTGAAATTTACTAAGCGCTTACTTTATGCTAGAAACATTCACATATTTCTTATTTTAATCCTTATAAAACTTTGTAGAGCTGGGTATCATTATCTCCACTGACAGCTTGGAAACTGTGGCTCAGAGAATTGACTTGCCTGAGTTCATATCATATAGGTAAGAAGTGGCAGGGATAGGATTGAAAACCAGAGTTTTTCATTCTTCAACCACTCCTCAGTTCACCACACCACGGAGGTGCTGTATTTTTGTTTTGTTTTTTTAATTGAGGCAAGGAGGTTTCGTAGAGCTATTTCCATTGCCTTATTTTGGTCTCAGATTTCAAGCTGTTAAGATTTACTGGGTAATAGAGATATGTTTAACACTTCAATAGCTATCAAATGGCCTATACCAAAGTCTTTCTGCATTTTTCTATCTCTTTTTCATACCTAACAGATGCTCAACAAATACTTGTTGGGTGTTAAAATGTTTTTGTGTCAGGAAAGAAGATTTTATTATTTATAGAAGAGAAGGTATGCTAATGAGTGTGAACCAATGGTTGTGCCTAGTTTATCTTACTCTCTCAAGAGGATGTGCTTGCCCTTATCAAGTCTTTGTTTCATTTGTCATTTTTGTCTGAATGTTTTTAGAATTCTAGAAAGCATGTTTTCTGTGTGCCCTTTCATAGGTTCTCTTTAAACTGAATTATTTATAGATAATTAGAAAGTATTAAAATCATGACTATGAAATACAAATGGATATTGATTTAAAAAAAAAACTTGAAGTTATCTCTCCAATATATATTTTACTGAGTAAAATATACTCAGAAACACAAAATCACTTAAGAAAGGTTCTTATCCTGAAGAGTGTTATAATATATTCAATACTTTATTTCATTTCAAATAATTTAGTTTAATTTTTAAATTTTGTCTCATTAATTTTTCCTAAGATAAGTAATTATAACACATCTTATCTTTGTTTATTATCAGCTGTCAGATAAAGGAAAATGCAGTAGAACGATACATGGCACAAATAAAGAAACTTCGAGAAAAGAACCAAAAGTATCATGAAAGAGTGAGTATCACGTTTAAAGCATCTATATCTAGTCATTAAATATTTACATGAATGCTTTTAAAAATTGTGAATTGTAATGAAATGTACTCTAGGAAATTATCTTCTTTGGTGCTTGGAATTGATTAATTTACAATCTATTTAAGTGTTTTTGTACACGTGCGTTGAGTGTACTGCTGTTCCTATTACATTAATTATAATGTCAAAGGAAGTCAGCTTCAATTATGTTATTTAGATCATGAGGACATTGAGTCTTATGTTCAAAATTTTAAAGCTCCAAAACCACATTTATCTTTTAATTTCTTATTTAACCAAACTATAAAACATTGGTTCTCTATTTTTAATTTGTGTATCTGTTTTCTTTTAGATTTTCAGAGTGTGCATATGTAAATATTATTTGAAAAGTACAATCTTGGTTGTTAAAATGGCATTTAATGTTTAGGACAGTATGTTGTTTTTATAAAATCAGATTAAAATAAATATCAAAGGGATGCTGTATATAACTATCAGGACTAAAAACCAACAGAGAAAAAGTTTGGAAGCAGTAAATGATAATTAACACAATTTATCCCTTAAGGCGTCTCATGAATAAGGAAATACTGAGGGTGTCTCCTATAAAAACATTTATTTTATATGGACCCCGAAACTTCCACACTTATCTGTTTTAAATGTCTTTTGTCTAAAAAGACTGTATCTACAAATTTTAACAGAATCTGGAGTCAGAGAACTGAGTCTGCATCCTGACTATTCAACTTACTGCTGATGTCATTTTGACCAAAACTGGTATGAGCTTCAGTTTCCCTCTTGTAAAATGAGGATTCCTATCATCTCCATAGGGCTAATTTGTTCATTCATTCAGCAAATATTTATTGGGCAAGACAAGCCCTGGTGATGACATAACTGTGACCTTGACATTGTCATGACTCTCAAGGACTAGTCACTTATAATAGGGACTAAAACAGAAACTCAGGTCTATGGATGAGAGTGGAAAGGGGAAATTTGGCCTAGGTGCTTAGATACAAGTTCCACATGATGAGATCCAGAGCATGTAAGAGGAGTGAGCTGCCATCAAGGGACCAATGCACATCCCCCAGTGGTCAGCACTGGGACTCCTAGGTCAGCTTTGGTACTTCCATTTGGTTGTGGAAATGTTACCACCCAACGTGGGGCCTTCTGCTCGCTGCAAGACATGCCAATAGTAAAGAGGCAAGGTGGTAGGAGAAAAAGGACTTTTTTATTACAGCTTGCTAGCAAGAGGGAAGATGGCTGACTAATGTCTGAAAAAAACCATTTTAAGGGGCACAAAGTCTTACAGCAGTTATATAGGCTGGTGGGTTATAGGGGAGGGGCTTAGGAATGTTGACCTTCTGATGTTACAGACTGGGAGTCGCCACACCAGATCTTTCAGTTTTCATTGATGATGGCTATTAGCATAGATTCTCTGTTCAGGGGTCATCACATTCCTAAGGAACTGAAAAGAACAAAGTTATCATCTAATCACAGCTGGGAGATACATGCAGAAGCAGGGGTTGTAAAATCAACATAGCATTTAGATCTCCTGGAGGGTGCATATGCTGCTGGGTTAGTTTGTCAGAGGTCATTCAAAGTTACAATAGGGTTTCTTTTCTACAATATGGCTTCCCTTATGTCAACCTTGTCTTGAGCTGGTATCAGAAAGGGTAACAGATCAGGACTGAGAATCACTTTCCCATTGGCCATCATTTGGAGCCAGAAACAAAGTTCTTGTTTCCATGAGGATTAGCTCAAGAATAGGATATGCCTAAATCTGTTCTTGGAGTCATTAGTGGGCCCAGCAGAGAGGAGCATGGAGAGGCAAACTCTACCTCCAATGGTATGTATCTATTTCTTTCCATTTATGCTGATACTGGCACTATTTAAGTCACCATCGTCTCTTACCCATCCTTCCTCTGTCCACTACATTTTCAACAGTGCCACCAGAATTACCCTTTGAATACTGTAAACATTTCAGTGCTTAAATCCTTGCAGTGGCTTCCTATTATACAGGAAATAAAATCCATAGTCCTTACTAAAGTTTTCAAGGCCTTGCAAAATCTGACCTCTACTCACCTCTCCAGCCTTGTCTCCAGCCATTCCACCTTTTGCTTACCACTGCTTCTTTTAAGTCTTAGAAAACTCAATCTCTTTCTTGTTATTGTACCTTTACCCAGGCTGTTTCCTCTTTCTGGAATGCTCTTGTCTTGGCTAGCTCCTTTTCATTCTCCTAATCTAAGCTGGAGTGCTATGTAAAAATATGTCTCCATTACTAAATTGAAAGCTCTTTAGGCAGCAGCAGTCAAATCTAGGTAACTAAAAAGTTATCTTTGTTTCTCTGGAAGGACCCGGCATGAGTAGCTGTTTAATAAATACTTGTTGAATAAATTCACACTAACACCAGTGGAAGCAAAAATTTTTGAGGTCACAGTTATTTAAATTGCTAAATTAAACATGACTCAAATAGCAAGACACATTTTTCTCTTCAGTTATGTCAAAATCAGAAATGCCCTTCTTCCTTCCCACTCATCATCTCTTCCTGTGTGTGTTTAGTTTTGTGTGGACTATCACCTCATTTATCTTTCTTTCTCTCTGTTTGCATTTATTGCTCCACTTACATCATTAGACATTACATAGTTCACTGTATCCACTTCCTTACCTCCCAATTCATTCTTTCGCCTCTACTGTTCCACCACAACTGCTCTAGCAAGTTATTAATGACCAATTAGCCAGGTCCAATGGGCTCTTTGTAGTCTTTCCTTTACCCCTCATCCCTTCAGCAGTCACTCCCATCATCTTGAAACTCTCTTTTCCTTTGGGTTCCAGGACATTACTCTCCCTTAGTTTTCCTCCTACTTCTCTGACCATTTCTTTTTGTTTTTCATTCATTGGCCTTTTCCTGGACCCACTCTTTAATTCTGGTATTTACAAGGTTTCTGATCTCAACTCTTTTCTTTCACTAAGAACTCTCTGGTGGTCTTACTTAACGCCATAGCTACAAATACCATCTATATGGTGATAATTCTCATATGTATATGTGACAAAATTTCTTAATACTATATATTTAAAAAACGAGCACATGTAAAAACTAGTGTAATCCAAGTTAACATTGTACCAACCTCAACTGCCTGGTTTTGATAATGCGCTATGTTTATATAAGATGTCATCATTGGGGAAAGCTGGGTGAATAGTAGATGGAAACTCTGTGTACTACTTTGGCAACTTCTTGTTCTTGTTCTTGTGAGTCTTAACAAGTTAAAAGCCTGTGTGATGGCCTTATAACAAAACAAAATCAATCCTTTTTTTGTTGCTTATTTACTGAATTGACTTTCTTCTATTTTATAATGTGATAATTATTCTTACCTCAAATAATAATCATTTACTTTACTTTGTAGGATAAATGTCTTTTTTAAGCACATTGGTGGATATATCTAACTAAATTCTATTTCAGTATATCACTCAAAATAATTTTTCAGATATAGTGAATTTTGAACATGTTGTCAGACACATTTCCCTTTCACCTGAAATTCATACAGGATTTGGGAAGTTTAATATAGATGTTATTAAATTTATATATAATGCCAAATATGATTTAGTAATGTTTATGCAACATTCAAGTATATTTTTAGGACATGTGATGCTGTTTTAATTTACAAATGAAAAAAGCACATGTTTGAAAAGAATAGTTATTGCGTTAAAAATTTGATCTAAGAGGATTAGATTCACTTTGAGAAATATTGTGCTAAGTATGGAAAGTAAAAGGAAAATTTCTTTATATATTACATATTCTTTCTTTATGAATTGCATATAATAGTTTTTAAATTATCAGTATGTTTGGAAATTTTTTGCTTATGTATTATAGTAAATATTTTTGAGCTAGAAATGAATTTAGAGGCCATTGTTGCCTTACTAAAATTAACTAAAATCAGATAAAGATTTATTTAGTATTCAGATCATATTGGATAAAGGAATTTTCCACTTCTACAAAAATAAGTGGAAAAGTCCATATTTGGAAAAAATATCAGCAGTGCAATAGTTTGGCAAGGGATATTTCCATTGCTATTATTCAAGTTTCTAAAAATATTTCATTTTAAAATAACTTATGTCAAGCCAAAATAATTCAGTTTATTTACAAGAAAACAAAACACGAATCTATTTCATTAAAGAAAATGGAATATTTGAAAATTGATTAAAGAGTAATAAATTGGTTATCAGTTACTAATATTGATTGACCTTCATTTTTTTAAATTAAACTTTTTATTTTGAGATAATTATATATTGGCATGCAGTTCTAAGAAATAATACAGAGAGATCCTGTGTACTCATTACCTAGTTTCCTATTACAAAACTTGAGTACAATATCACAACTAGGATATTAACATTGACAATATTGTCATTGATGTGATCAAGATATAGAACATTTTCATTAATGCAAGCATCTCTTTTCTTGTCCTTTTATAGCCACTCACTTCCCTTCTAATTCCACCCCTTCCTTAACTCCTGGCAGCCATTAATCTGTTCTCCGTATTTATAATTTTGTCATTTCAAGAATGTTATGTAAATGGAATCATATGGTAAGTAGTCTTTGGGGATTTGCTTTTTTCCTTCAGCATAATTCTCTGGAGATTCATCCTGGTTGTTGCATGTATCATTAGTTGGTTCTTTTTTATTGCTGAGAAGTATTCCATGATATGAATGTACCACAGTTTGTTTAACCATTTACCTATTGAAACCATTTACCTATTTACATATGAGTTGTTTCCATTATTTGGCTATGACAAATGAAGCTTTTTATATACAGGTGTTTACATGAATCTAAGCTTTCTTTTCTCTGAGATAAATGCCCAGTAGTGCAGTTGCTGAGTTGTATAGGAAGCTAATGTTTAGTTTTATAAAAAACTGGCATCCCTTTTAACAGAGTAGCTGTACCATTTTACAATCCCACTAGCAATGTATGAGTGATCCAGTCTGTTCACATCCTTGCCAGCATTTGGTGATGTCACTATTTTGTTTTAGCCATTCTAATAGTGATATCTCATTGTAGTTTTAATTTACAATTTCCCTAATGGCTGATGATGTTGAGCATCTCTTCATGTGCTTATTTGCCATCTATATATCCTCTTTGGTGAAATTATCTTCTTGTCTTTTGCCTATTTTCTAATTGGATTTTTTTTTTTTTACTGTTGAGTTTTGATAGTAAAAAAAAAATAGATAGATAGGTAGATGAAATAAGAAGCTTAGGAACATAGGTGAGATAGCCACAAGAGGAACCCAGTCCAGATTTCAAGTGTGAAGTATTGGAATGGTGAGTAACCATTACCCTAAAAGAAAACAATTAGGGTCATTTGTCAGAAAAGTAAAGAGTAATATAAATTCCACAAGAGCAGTACTTTTTCTCTATTTTGTTCACTGATATATTCCTAGTGTCTAGAAGCCTACCTGGCACATGGTAGATGCTCCATAAATATTGACTATATGAATGATGATTGCTAGAGAAGAACGGTGTCAGTGAGAGATTGAATAAATTGACCTCCAAGTTCTAATTTTAATGTTCATTGATCCTATGATAGAGTGATAGACTGGTAGATTAATAACATAATTTTTTAAATGTGACTTTCTATCCAGTGGTTACTGTGTTGATGGGTTTAATTTTATTTTGAGTCTTCCATGTTCCATAAGCTGTTAGAGATATTATTGTATAACTTATTTCATTAAGTGTTTCTTTGTCACTTTGCAAGCCTCAGTATGTGACTCTGTTTTGAAGAAGATCAAATGTAAATACTTGAGAAGATGTAGTTAACTACTGTTGATTTTCATGATAGAATAGACGCTTAAAGGATGAACAGGTTTGGCACATCCGGAACCTACTAAAGGAACTGAGTGAAGAGAAGTCAGAGGGATTACCAGTTGTAACAAGAGAGGATGTTGAAAAAGCAATGAAGGAAAAATGGAAGTTCGAAAGAGACAAGGAACAAAACTTGAAAGGTGATTTAAGAACTTAGAAAATTATCATAAAGCTGTATCAAGTTATTTCTTGAATGTATTAATGCTTTTGTCTCCCAATATGTTCAAAATGCTGTAAACATATTTTGGGTGACATCATTACCACCACGACCACAAACACATGTAGGTAAATGGACAGGAGAGGGAGATAACGAAGTGGGCAGAGATACTGAAACCAAGTGAGGAGGAGGGTTAAGGGCAGTGATCAAAAACAAAGACAGGCCGAACCACCTGACTCTTAACACCAGAGAGGATCCTGTTAGATACCACTCTGAACTCCTCACTGTGGGAGTTTGTTCTTTCTTTTCGGAAATTCTCTCATTTGGTGGCTTCATTGACTTTAGCCTCAGTTCAGACTTGAGAATGATAAGGTGAATATAACCATGAAGCTTTTCTCCCCCCAATATCTTTAAGGGAGCTAAGCCCCCATTTAGATGGAGGAAAAGGGATTACAGTTGGAAAAGGGGAAGTTTGGAGGACATGGATAGAATTGATGCTAGGTGTGGAAGATAAAAGACCCAGGACATGCTCTTGCCATGGGCTTAGGCAGTACTGTGATCCTGGGGGTGAGTCACACACAGTTCTAACACATATATTTTTAAAAAATTCCTATTGCTTCATTCTAAACTTGTTGCTAAGATTTCTAAAACCGCTTTTGCCGGAATCTCCATAAACATCATCTCTGCTAGGAATCTGGAAAACATGGGAAAGAGACTTGAGTGCTATCAGGAAGCAGGATTAGAAGCTGAGAGGCCAAACAAGGGACTAGATTTTCCTGAATTTCTCCAAGTATTTCAGAGAGCCTGCTTACCCAAGCTCTTTGCATAGAGCAGTCACTCTATTCATAGATATGTGTTGTTTTGAATGAAATAGTCACCAAGGCCAAACATCAATCAGCAAACTTCATTTTTAGGAGTCTCCAAAACTGTTCCTCCAAACCTCCTCCAACTCAAGTCTCTTTGTGGTGATGTCATGAGCTAATAGTGATGTCATGAGGTGGCAGCTACTGTATTTTGCAGGGCTCCTCTCCAGGAGAATTCTGCTTATGTTTGAAAGAAATACTTTAATAAGTCCCTTGAGATGGGAGTGAAACCAAAGTGGATACTCAGATGTGCTCACTAAAGTGAGCTAAAGGGAAAGGGCCCAGTTAGTGGAGGTGTGCCCCTTTATAGTTGGGGCTGAGTGCTGGGATATGTTATAAGACTGGGGCCAAGCTGGGTGACTGAGCACAGTAGAGGAAGGCTGGGCAGGCATGGTAGTCCAAGGAAGAAAGAAGCCCACAGATGCTGAGGAAGAGAGGGAAAGATGTGTCTGCAAGGGATTTCTGAGGCAGTTATGTTATGTACCAGGTAGCCACTTGTAACTCAGTTTGGTTTGTGGAGCAGCAGCCACAGCTTCCCTTGGCAGCTTGTTAAAACGCAGAATCTCAGGTCCATCCAGACCTACTGAGACAGAATCTCTCATTTTGACAAGATCCTAGGGGATACCTAGGGAGTACTGATGTAACTCCTTTCTTGCAACTTTTAGTTAGGATTCTTTCGGTTCCAAGGATGAAACTCAAACTAGACTAAAGCATAAAGAGGATGTTAATTTTTTCATATAACCAAACAGAAAAGGCAGAGTGCTGCTGACCTGGACCCAGAGCCTTACATGCTGTCAGATCTCAGCTTCATTTTTTTAGTCCCCTCTCCCACTCCCTCTCTCTCCCTGTTACCTGTCCTCTCCCATCCCTTACCCCTCTTCTTCTTGCTGTCTTCCCTCTGAAAGATGGCTCCTTTTTCTGAGGCTGTTGTCCCAATGAGTCTGGAATTCTGATCGTAGACACCTCTGATTTTACATTCTTTTAACCTCAAAATGGAGGCAAAGGAGATATGTTTTCCACCAGTTTCAGTGAAAATATTTCTAGGGAAGAACTCTGACCATATGCCTAACTTAGGGCACATGCTCACCCCTGGACAAATCCCTATGGCCAAGAGAAGGGGCCACTGTAATTGGCCTACTTATTTGACAAAGGGTAGGGGAAGTTTGTTACTAGAAGGAAAGAGAGAGGGGTTCTGGGAAAGTAGGACAACAGCCACTACATCCACCTCTCTTTCAGAGTCTTCCCTGGGGTCAACCAACCCTCCCTGCCTAAGCTGAATGTGGCACATGGCTGAAACAGCAGCAGTTTGCTCAATTAAGAGGACAGTTGACCATCTGACTTATAGTAGTACTAATTGTTTAATGACAATAACAAGTGCCATTTATTAAGGGATTTAAAAATATGTTATCTTATGTACATCTTTGGAAAAAGACATGTCTGGAATCCTTCTGGACCTCTGGACTGAAGAACATTCCTCTGGCCTGATTGGAATGCTTCAGTCATTCTATAAACATTCATTGAGCATCAGCTAGTTACCAGACTCTGTGCTACATGCTGGATTTACAGAGATGAATAAGACGTGGTCTTGCCCTCAAGAAGTTCTCAAACAAGATAGTGTGTGGCAGTGAGCCAAATAGCCATTAAGTTCATTGTACCTGGCTCTTTGTAATTCTTCCTTTTCCAAAATATTCAACAGCATAATACTCAGCCTAAAGATTGAGTAGAATATCATAGTTAGCAAATACACCAGGGCAAACTGAAAGTTTGTATGGTTAAGATAGCTCAATATTTGTATATATTTAACTGGGGAACTTATCTTTCATTCTGAAGTCTTACTAAGTGGGGGGGGGGCGAGACATGTCGTTATGACTATCATGTGCTATCATTTCACACAAGGGAAGCCTACACAAATGAACTTTAGATAATAGAATCAAACAACTTATTTACAAAAATGGTTGCCAAGAACCACAGAAGGATATAAGTTGAAATCACTTTGCCCAGAGACTTAATGGCCAGAAAAATGACAATTTACTAATAAAAAGTATATGTAATATAATATATTGTACAAAATAGGACCCTTATCAGGCTGTCACAGGAATAATTAAAACTTGTGGGTTTTTAGGCATATAGGTTAATTGTCTATTATAGCTCTCAATCACAGACCAAAACCACACATCTATTTTATAATTGGAAGTTTAATTTTACTTAGATTTTGAATCACGAGGGATAGATAGTTTGAATAGTTTAAATTTCCTTAAATTGTAGATATAAAATCATATTGATGAGTTAACATTAATATCAGACCTTAACTTCATAAAATCAGATTGCAACAATTAATGGTTGCAAGGACAATTGAAATGACATGGTGTCTTGGTTTTCTTTCAACAGATATGCGCATGCAAATAAGTAATGCTGAGAAACTATTTCTTGAGAAACTCAGTGAGAAGGAATATTGGGAAGAGTACAAGAATGTAGGGAGTGGACAACATGCTAAACTCATTATCTCCTTACAAAATGACATCAATACAGTTAAAGAGAATGCAGAGAAAATGTCAGGTCAGTTGCAACAAAGCTAGTTCAAGTTCAGTAAAAAATCTCTAGAGGGCAGACATTTAGTGGAAGAAAAAAATGAGTACTCCCTGAATCATTCGTTACTCTCTGCTGTCAGCACAAGGCAGCTATGATCCTAAGGGTAAAGGTTGGAAGGAGGAAGTAGAGAAACTATCCCAGGACTACCTGTGAAACTGAGAAAGGGAAGTAAAGGGACTCGGGGGTAGGGGCAGAAGACTTGCAACCAACGGACTTTGAGAAAGAAGCTTCATTCAGTTGGTGGTGTCTGCATGCTCCCACACCTGGGTCTGGGGAATTCCACTGAAGTAGGCGGGTCCTGACGGGGCTATAGTAGAAAAGGAATTCACCTGAGGCAAGCTAAGACAACTTAGCCAGGCTCAACAACCATTACAGTAGTCCCCCCTTATCTGCGGGATATGTGTTCCAAGACTCGCAGTGGGTGCCTGAAACTGCGAATAGTACTGAACCCTATATATACTATATTTTTTCCTATACATACCTACCTATGATAAAGTTTAGCTTATGAATTAGGCACCCACCGTAAGAGATTAACAACAATAACTAATAACAAAATAGAACAATTGAAGCAATATACTGTGATAAAAGTTACCACAGATCTTAGCAACCTCAGCATATGATTTTCTTTCTTTATTAAGTCTGGAACTTTCACCTTTTCACTTAAAGGAAGCACTTTATGGCTTCTCTTTGGCATATCCTAATTGCCACCATCACTACTCTTGCACTTTGGGGCCATTATTAAGTAAAACAAGGGTTATTTGAACACAAGCATTGCAGTACCGTGACAGTCGATCCCATAACAGAGATGGCTACTAAGTGACTAACGGGTGTGTAGCATAAATGGTGTGGATACGCTGGACAAAGTGATGGTTTACTTCCCAGGCAGGATGAAGCAATACGGCTCAAGATTTCATCACCCTACTCAGAAGTCTCACGATTTAAAACTTATAAATTGTTCATTTCTGGAATTTTCCATTTAATGTTTTTGGGCCACAGGTAATTGAAACCATGGAAAATGAAACTTGGATAAGGAAGGACTATTGTATAGAGAAATGCCCAATAAATGCTAAATTGTAGTCAGAAAAAACTGGAGAACAAACATGAGATGGGAAGTAGAGAGGATGTGGAGCAAGATGGCATCAGGCGTGATGAAGCTTACCAGGACTAGATCTGGGAACTGTGAGGCCACCTATCACTGAGGCAAACATAGTGGCTTAAAAGAACATCAGAAACACAGAGACAGCAAAGTCATAGGACAGAATAAATGGGAGAAATCTGGCCCGAAAGAACACTGTGGGTGGGTGACAGTTCTAAGTCCAGCTGGTGATGATGCCCTGTGTTGTGGAGCGGTTCAGGTGGGGTCATTCCCATTGTCCCCTGCTGGGGCCCTGTCTGGACATCCCACCTCTGGACCAATTTTTGTGTAAGTTTCTCAGCTCGGGGCCTCTGTACCACAATGGTAGTGTAAATTTGGCCCCAAATCAGTCTGGGCTTGATGTTCCAATTTTTCAAAATGTTCTCCTCCCCAAAAGAAAAGGAGAGAATAAAAGTGACACTCAACTACCCCTGTCTATCCCCCAGCCACTCAGATCCTCTCTCCACATAAAACCACTATCACCACTTCCTTGTGTAGCCTTTCAGAAATATCTATGCATATATCAATATATACAAAGCATGCTACAAATACAATTTTTGTGTGTGTGTGTGTGAGGAAGATTAGCCCTGAGCTAACATCTGTCGCCAATCCTCCTCTTTTTGCTGAGGAAGACTGGCCCTGGGCTGACATCCGTGCCCATCTTCCTTTACTTTATATGGGATGCCACCACAGCATGGCTTGACAAGCGGTGCGTAGGTGCGTGCCCGGGATCCGAACCCCAGGCCACCGCAGCAGAGTGCGCACACTTAAACAGCAGAGTACGCCACCAGGCCAGCCCCAGATACAATTTTTTACTTGCTTTTTCGTGTAGTAATATGGACGTCCTTATAGATCTGTACATATTAGTACTTCCTCATTCTTCCAATGGCTACTTTGTTTTGTTGTACTATAATTTTTTTAACAAGTCCCATACTCATCAGCATTTTGTTTCCTGTCTTTTACTATTATAAATAATGCTCCAATGAATATCCTTACACATATCATTTTACTTCAGTGAGTATCCTTGTATTTCTGTAAATCTCTAAAGAGGAATGGCTGGCCCAAACAGCCCGTTTATTTTTGCTTTGATAGGCCTGGCCCTCCATAGAGGTTGTACCAAGTTCGCGTCCCCCTGTGTGCATGAGGATGCCTGTTTTCCTGTCTTCAACAACAGGGGATGCTATCCAACTTTTTGTTCTTTGCCCGACTTACAGGTAGAAAATGGAATCTCATTGCAGCTTTAATTTCCATTTCTCTTATTATAAGCGATAGTGAATAGCTCTTCATAAGTTCAAGAACCATATGAATTTCCTTTTCTGTGAACCATCTGTTCACATGCCTCGCCCATTTTTCTATTGTATTGTGGAGCTATTTGCATTTTAAGGAAACTAGCTCTTTAACTGTGATGGAAGGTGCAATACTTTCCCCTTTTGTCTTTAGTCTTTTGCTTGTGGGGTGTAGTTACGAGGAAATTTTGTAGTTTATCAGTGTTTGATTTTATGATTTCTAAGATTATAAATAAATTCTCCAATATTTTCTTCTAGGATTTTTATGGCTTCATTGTTCTATTTAAATCTTTGATTTGTTTGGGGTTTTTTGTGAGGTAGGAAACCAACTTTATTTTTTGCCAGATGGTTTTCTAGTCATCCCAACATCATTTATCAAATAATCCATTTTTACCCTACTGATTTGAAATGCTGACTTTATCATACTTTAATTTCCCACGTGTGTTTGGATCTCTCTCTGTTCTGTTCCATTGATCTGTCTATGTATTTGTGTACCAGTACCACACTTTTAAAATAGTTATTGTTCTGGCATGTTTAAAATTTTTAAAATAGTTTATTCAGCATTTCTTCATTTTGCATTTTTAAAATAGGACGAGCAATCTCATATAAACTTACCCCATTCTCCTGATCCGCTCTGTGATTCAATGAATTAGGGATGGCTCTCTAACACACACTGGGCCTGAAGAGATTGCTACATGGTCGGTATTTCCACCTGCACCTGCTCAGTTTTCTCCAGAGGAAGCTGAAAGGAGACCACACCACAGGAGAGGATCAGCACGATGAAGCTGTGTGACACCCAGAAGAGTGTGAAGAGTGGACAAGACCCCCAAAAAGCTGTGGAGGAGTAAACCAGAGCAGAGCCAGACACAACGGGGAAGGCAGAACAACGCAAAGCAAGCTCCAGCCAGCGTGGTTTTGCAGTCGGCTTCTGAGAAGTGACCACATTAGACCCGGCATGTGAGCAGCCAGGAGTCTAAAGGCAGGAAGTCATAATCTCTTACACTCCCACTTGCAATGTCGCAAACTTTTATGAGAAGGAGACTTTTACATACTCTCAGTTTCTTCGTCTATATTCACAAATGAATGGTTAATGGTTGTTACTCAAAGCATCATCTCAATCACAAAGGAAAACAATGAGATTTTCACATCTTCCCTTGTGCCGGTTACTTTTCTTTTAAGAAGAAAGAGTCCATAGAATTTTATATGGAATTTGGAATGGAGTTGGATGTTATTTTTGCTTTTGCAGTGTTAATATGGCAATAAAGAGCTACAGCTTTAGTCAGAGCATATTTGGTAATCTATTTTTTATGATTTACAGCAAAGCATTAATAGTTAATGTTATCAAACTCCAGGTTTTATGGTTTCAGATGCTAAGAATGTAAAATCCATTATAGCTAATCTCCTGATCCATTGCAACTTTTAGATTGATTGTTGTGTTTTGTTGGGTAGAAGTTTCGGATAAATAGCCAGCATTTGTCTCATGAAGTAGGTCCTGAATTGAAAAAGAAATTCCATCAGAAATGAGATTGGAATGATTAAAATATTCGAGTGATTACTTTGAATAAGAGTAAGAACAATACCAGTTATATAGATGAGCATATGCAGGTTAAAATAATGAAGACTTCCATGTTCTTATTCTCCTGGTGTCAAGTTAGGCTATTCCCCAAACCTAGTGAAATTTCTTGTTTATAAACCACTGCCTCCCTCAGACACTCTTGTTCCAACTCTGTTAGGGCGGAAACTGACCTCTCCCAGCCCCGTTCCTGGCCGCTCCGCAACTTGGGAGAGCTCTCCCCTTCTCTCTCTTTACTCCCCCTTCCTCTCCTCACCAAAGTTGCCACTGAAGCGCCATCATCTGCTGCTGCTACCCTGGTGCTGAAGCCTCAGATCACTGCCCACCAGATTTGGAGTTTGCCAAATTTAATTTTCTTCAAAATATTTTTCATTATCTTTTGTGTCCCAGGGACTTCAGTAATAGAAAGATATGGAAGAGAAATGTTTACACTCCGCTTTCAGAGTTTTCATCTAACAGGGGAGCAGTTCTGCCGGTGCAAAGTACAGCTGAGGGCTGAGTAACTCCTCTCTAACTCCCTGGCCCCCTCTCCAGAGCTGTGGCTTGGCTTCGGTCTATTGAAAGACCAGACCAGGTGATCTCCTCCCCTGTAGCCTAATGTCTTAGAGTTCTGCTTTGGTTGATTTGCTCTGTGGGGAATATTTCCCCTTTGGAACAGTGTTCTAAATAGCAGTTATGTTCCACAGCACTACTAGTACAACACTATTGTTTAGTTACAGAATAAGTTAAATGGGTCTCTGTGGACCAGTCCAAATATCTAGCAACCATATTTTCAGCATCATTTGTATGGGGAAATACTTTCTGACTTCCAAATAATTATCCTTCAGATAGTATAAATAAAACACAACTAATGGGGACATATAACATAGATGTTATCATAAAACACAGCTAACTTGGATTACTCTTGGGTGAACTCATTTGTAGTACAGTTTCCTCCTGTTGCACGTGGCTGACCACTTTATTCAATCTTTGCTCAAATCTTACCTCCTCAAAAAAAACAACTTCTGATCACCCTATCTAAAATAGAGAATTTTAGTTTTTCTTCATCACATCACCACCTGAAATATTATTTGCTTATTTACTTATTTACTGTATGGCTTCCCCTCTAGAATGTTCATGTCATAAGGGCAGGCAAGATTCCCAGTGCCTTAAATAGTGTCATACATGTCAAAATAGCTTGATGATGATTTGTTGAATAGAAGCAGGCACAAACTGGACTCCTTTATCCAGCTTTTTCTCTCCACTCTCTAAAGCAGCCTTAATGTCACTGCGCCTTGCTTTCCTTAAACAGAGATGTTGATTATATGATCTCTAAGCATCTTTCAAAACCTAAACTTTTATGATCCTTTGCCTTCTCAGTTCTGACATTTGTAACCTAAGGAAATCTGGAGAGGACAGAGAATCCTGCTCTTCTTCATCTCTGTCCTCCTTCTTGCTCTGAGCCCAACTCGGAACCAGGTCACCTGACTTTCACAGCCCCCTACTCCACTCTGTGCTCTTCTCATTCTGTCTTTCCTGACCCAGGGAACGCATGCCAAGAATATTGGAAATTTACTTAGATGGAACCAGATGTATAGGATGCTATTCAAGCAGACAATCAAATCTTCTTTATATTTCTGTTGTAGAATCAGAAGTTGTGTGATACAGGGCCAGCCCCGTGGCTTAGCGGTTAAGTGCGTGCGCTCCGCTACTGGCGGCCCGGGTTCGGATCCCGGGCGTGCACCCACGCGCTGCTTCTCTGGCCATGCTGAGGCCGCGTCCCACATACAGCAACTAGAAGGATGTGCAACTATGACATACAACTATCTACTGGGGCTTTGGGGGAAAAAA